TAAAAGTAATATAGTGCTAAGCATGTAATTATTATAAGAATTTGATTTAACCTACTTCTGTATAAGTGCTCCGACTTTATTTTTTAACATCTTCCATCTAAATTAAAATAAAATTACAACGCAATTTTCCAACATTCTCAATTTCTAGTTGGTCCGAAAACTTTTGCCTAATTAAGTTGAACATAAAAATTATTATTTGAAACAAAACAAGAACTAGCTAGTAAATAGCATTTTGATTGATAATGATGACCGGTTTTTGTTTTTAAATAAAATAAAAAATACTTTTTTTTCGTAATTTCTAATAATTAACTTTAACCTGCTATAGATCAAATTTTTGTTTTTATAACATAAGAAAAACAAGTACCTACCTAGTAAGAAATTTTAAATCAGCCTAGAAAAATTGTAAAGTTCATTATTGTCTACCTGAAAAAAAAACAACAACATACGACCATGTAATCACGAAATATTTAATAACGACAATAGTAAAAAAAAAAAATAAAGACAAAAAATAAATGAAATAATAAGAAAAAATGAATTACAAGGTGAATCAAAAAATAATTAGATGAACAGGTAAAATTTACCTGTTTTGTGCATTTAATTCAAATAATGTTAGAAACAAAATGTAGAAATAACAAAAAAAGACAAAAAATATAAAATTCCAAAGATCTGTTAATCTTTTTTTTTTTTAAATAACAGAAACAACCATTGAATGTCAATGTTTTTTTTATGTATTGTGTTTATTACTCCGCGCTTCAATGCATTCAAATTATTTTACGATGTGGCATTCATTCATTCACATTATGAACTACCTATTATTGTTACTTGTTGTATTTGTTGTTTGTGTACTTATTATAGCAGTTATACACATTTCATTTTACATACCTTACCTTTTACTTACTGTGAATTATAATAAAAAAAATTTGATGCTATTGTAACATTTGTACTAATGTGGAAATATGTGTGCCCCCCATATAAACAAACAATAAGTTTAAACCTTTAATTCTATCAAGAAGTACATATTATGCTGTAAGGGACTGAATATTCAAATAAGCTAGAAAAAAGTTTTGTTTTGACACAAATTCTTACTTTTTAGTACATTTTCGAAAAAATTTGAAGAAAAAATGTTTGTTTGTTTCACTCTGTACGCTTGTCTGTTTACAAAATACTATTTTCAGATAGGAACTCAAAATTATATTTAGGAATAGATTTTTGCGACAAACCTATTTCTTTAGAAGTGAACCCTTATCTAATTTACTAGTTTTAGAAGTTATAAACCCACAAGGTCTTCAAAATAAACATTTTTTTTTTTAAAATTTAATTGACTGTTTTTTCAGAATCTTTAACACTGTTTTTCTCTTTGATGATATGTTGTAGAAATCTAAAACAGTTTGTAGAAAATAATAAATTCACTTTTAGTTCATGACATGAACAAGTGAAATTTTTTTCATCACTCTTTCTCTTACAAATTGTTCCCGTACAAAGTTTTCAAAATTTCAATTTTCCTCTTATTTTTCCAATTTTCTATAAAAACTAAGGGTAAATGTCTTTTCAACAAAAAAATATAATTATCTGAACTTAATTAATTAACCTTCGAATTCGTAAACGATTCTTTTAATTTTAATTTTTGTTTCCTAAAAGTATGCAATATTTTTTTCTTCGTAAAACAAATTTTTAATAATATTGAAAAATTTTAAGCAGACAGATGTTCTAACATTAAACTTGTTTAAGAAAAAATTCTTCTTTTTAAACAATTGGTTTGATACGAAAAAAAAATCGTGGAAGTAGCAAAATATTATGAAATAATGCGTGTTCAGTATCCATATATGACTGACACCAGCTTGATTTTAAGAAAAGTGGCTTCAACATCTCAAACTCGGAATCGGAAAAGTAAAGTAGTTTATAATAGTAAAAATATTAGCAATTGAAAATCTATTGAAATTCCTGATTTCTGAAAGAACACTTTAAAAATGGATGCGCTTATCTTTTTCTATTAGGCTTATGAATAGTTATTGTACATTTTTCCCGTAAATTTGCTCACACTATCTGTTGTGCTGTTTAAAACCAATTTCGTTGAAAATTTATTAGTCAGTTTCATTGCTGGACAGAGCCCAAATAATATGTTTTAATAAACTCCGTTGATCTTAATAATATGTAATCATTGCAATTGCATTTGTAATTACTGCAATTGTAACATTATAGCAATTTATAAATAAATTTTGTATTTTCGTTTTATTCTCTACTTGTCTAATCTAAATCTAGTACTTTCAAAAATTCACAAAATTTTCTTTTAAATAACACTAACCACTAATAATGAATTTAATTATATTTAATGCAGCACGAAAATAAACTAAATTTCCAAAAAAAAAAAATAATAAAAAATATTACCCCCGAGAATTCATTATTAAGAATATAAACAAAACATATATGTGTATGTATATATAGATGTATGTGTTAAGAACGTAAATAAGCAACAAAACATCAAAAATAAAAATATTTGTATTTTACTTGTATATAGCTACCTACATACATACATATACGAATATTCGCCTTTTTGATGAATCCTTACCCACAGTAAAAATTAGAATGAAAGTCACATAAAAATTAATTTGAAAATAAATATATATATTAACATACATACATAGGTGAATTCATAATAGGTATAAAAACTTGTGCATACACACATTGACTATACGTTTATGTACATACGTATGAGTACATACATAAGTGCATACATATAACAATAACATTATCATAAATGTAAGTAACGTTTTTATTACCATAATTATAAAGTATGAAATAAAAGAAAAAAAAATGTAAATAAAATATACTAAAGAATTTTAAATCAAAAAGAAAAATAACACTAATACATTTACATTTCACCTACATTCTAATAATATAAAAATTTCCCTGTAAAAATAAGTTCTACTAACATAGAAACTGTCAAAAAATACATACATATAGCTAGGTGGGGGTCGATTTATACTTTCGTCATGCCATGGAAAATAGAGTTTATGAGTATATAAACTTGTATACATTCAAGAGAAAATTAACTCTTATTTGTTATACATACAAACATACATACGTATAGCGAAATTCGTATTCGTATTTTTTATTTGTTGTAACTCAAACACGTATACATAGTTCAAATACCCGAATGCAAAAATAAAACAAAATTAAATGTATTAATTTTTGACATTTTCTTATTTTGACGTTTTGATCCACAGACCTACAGTCATCAAAATCTATAATATTCATATATGCATAGCGGATACATTTTTTTTCCTCAAAAGCATACATTAGTATATGTTTGTACATATGTGTATGATATGATATGTATTCGTATATTTTTATGTTACAATTTTTATTATTGCCTAAAATTATGCTACATAATAAAATAAATTATGTTTTTTTTTAATTTACCACTCCTCTGGTTTTCTTATTGTTCTTGCGTTATTTTATTTTCGCATTATACTCAAATTTTAATTTCGTGTGCTTTTTAAGCAAATAATGATAAAGATTATATTAATATTATAATATCAATAATAAAAATTGATTTAATAATGTAAATAATAATAATTTTGTCTTTATTTCAGTAAACTGCGGTACAACAAAATTAAGAACAATAATCTGGAATATAAAAATATAAGAAAACAAATCATATACAAAAAGATATAAGATTGTATGTACGTAAGTATAGAACAGATTAGCAAAATGTTGTACATTAAACAGTATGATTGTGTTTGTTCTTCAAATCCACGGGTTTAAAATATTTAAGAATCACTGCAAAACAATTTTAAATTCGAATTTTATTTACATATCGCACCCCAATCGCATCCCAATTTTTGGTATTATTATAAGATATTATTGAAATACAATATAAATGCATGCTATAACGCAAACTTAAGTTACATGATTTAGTTAAGTGATTTTTAGTTACAAGTATTTTCTGAGTTCTCCAAACTTGTCACAACCAACATGTAGTTCGAAACGTAAATCAATTAAAGTTGCTCCGGAATAAATAGAGAATAAATTTTTTCTCTTTTTCAAAAATGTTAGCCAATCTGACATATAAAGAAATCTCTTCAATTCAGATGAATTAAACTTACACCAATTTTTACATTTAAGTATTTTAATATACATCTGTTCGTACACTCCTCTCTAGGTACTGACTGTGCAATAACGATTTTTCATTTTCGTTTCAAAATAAATGCTTAATTTTATTAATTTACATAGCTACAGTCCGTATGTAAAATTTTTTTTCTTATTGTTTTGCTCACATCTGTCGGTTATTGCGTAATTTACTTGACAATTGGGTAACTGTTGGTTTTACAGTCGGAAGAAGTCGTTGTTTAATGTCATTAGATAATATTTTAAAGGAACTATTTAAAATCGAAAAATTTCACATAGACACTATTTTGCAAGAGCAGTCTATCTAAATGACATTTTATTGCACACGTACGTATAAGTATATTGAATAAACACACACTCTTAAGTAATCCAATAATAATTCCTTTTCCTCAATTCTTTTTACTGTAAACAACCCTGAACATTCAAAATCATTTCTTCAAAATGAATTTGAAAGTTTTAGACTATAGCTACAAAATCAACGATAATGACATTTAATGTAAATTTTAAAAAAGAAATGTTATATTTAGAATTTAGGGCAAAACTAAGAAATAGTTATGAGAAACGTTCAGAAAAGCTTAATGTCAATAATTTTTGATTTTAAAATTGAAAATTGTACAAAATAAAATATTTTTATATAACCTAACAGGGATATGTACTAAGTAAGTATATAAAATAAATAGTTATCCAAATTTATTTTTTTTACTAATTAAGTATAATAAAAACATTATGTTTTAATGACTCCTAAATTAACTATTTAATACATAAGTAAGTATATTTTCTTTCCAGCTTATTATTTAAGAAAAAAATAGGTTTTAATATAAAAATGTAAATAAATTTTTAAAAATAATTTTAAAAGAAACCTTAATATTTACCTTCATAATATTTATTAATTATAAATTACTATTTACTATGTTCTTATATTATTCTATATATTTGAATTAAAAAAAAATAAATTTATTTAAATTCGTTTTTCTTTTAAGAATTGATTTTTTCCAAAAAAAAAAAAAAAATTAAGAAAAAAAAAACAAATGTTCATATGCGGTATAAGAAAAGAATTTTCTGGTATTTATTTTAACACTTACACGCACAAAACAATACTTTTAATAAATATGGAAACACACACATGTACATATATTATATAATATATCCTTACAATTATTAACTATTTACTATACTTATATACACTTACAATTTTTTTATTATAACAGAAAATTATTTGCAAAATGACAGAGGGTGTTTTTTTTTTTTTTAAAGAAAATGAAAATTTAACAAAAATTACTTTGAATTCAGAATAATTTTTTCATTTAATTTTTATTTTTTCAATTTAAAAATTATTTTATATTTATTAGCTACTTTTTTTAAATATTTTTTCAATTTAATTCTGTTATAATTTTTTTATACTGCGTTGACTCGAATATGATTTTCAGCTACATTACTTATAAATACTAAAAAAAAAAATAATTTATGAATAATATTCTAAAAATTAATAAAATTAATAATTTATTAAAGTTAAATAAATTATTCAGTTTAGAATTGTACAAATGAACATATACACAAAAAATTGCATATACAAGTATGGAAGAAAAAAAAAATAATTACAATAAAGGATTTATTGAGCCTGACCTTAAAAACACAAAAACTATTTTTAACTTTTTCTTTTCTTCACTTCACTTAATTCTATCTAGTGTTTTCTGTTTCGTTATTAAATTTTTGAGTTTTGATTCAGGATATTTTCAATAATTTGTTCAGGATATTACTTATAATAACTTTTGTGCTTTGTTATAAAAATAAAAAATTAAAAGGATTTTTATATAATATTTTTTTTTTTCTTTTTAAATGAAAATATTTCACGGCAGTTGTTATTTGGTGCAAACTAAAAATATATAGAATTTTTATTTTCTTTTATTTTTATTTTTATCTTTGTTGGCCTTCTTTTGATGATATCAACGGTTTATATAACACAGTTATGTATTAATAAAATCAAAACTTTTTCTTACATACATAATATACAGCTATATATATGAATTATTATTTTATGTATATGTATATGTATATATATGTACGTGTATATACATTAAAATTTACGGAGCATATGTGGTATATAAAAAGATTTTGTCATATATTTTTTTTTTAATAAATTCTTTATTAATTTGGTATAGCTACATAGCTTACATACATACAATGAGTATTGTTGTTTTTCTTTCTCTTAAATTCGGAAATCGTAATTTTTGAAAAATAATACCTAAATATATTTTATAAAATTGTATTATAAATATAGAGATATTAAAAAAATGATTAAAATTTCAAATTTCAAGTTTAAGAAAAATATAATTAAAAATTAACCTGTTTAATTGCCCGGTTTTGTTGTTATTTTATATTCAATAAATTAAGAATATAAATTCTTATTATAAATTTAATAACATTAGATAAATATTAGTCAGAAACCAATTTTTATTAAGTATAAGTACGATTAGTTTTTTTTTTGTTCTTTAGACCATTTTATAGGAAATAATTACATAAGATATTATTATTAATGTTTTCCACTTTTCACTAGGAAAAATTTTGTATTTAGACCATTGCATGTGCAATATTTTTTATTTAATTTATTATTTGATTATTACTATTTATTATAGCTCTTACATAATATTGGTAGAAAGAATAAATAAACGTTCTGTTTTGTTTAAATTTAAAAATTCTATTTCTTCGAAAAATTTTTCACTAAAAATATATAAACACAATTTAGTACTAGATATACACTCATTTGTATGTGTGTACGTAATTTGCAGTTTCAAAAGATGTTTCTTTTTGGTTTGAGCTTTGTTAAACAATAAAGTGTAAATAATTTTAGTATTTTATTAATAGAAATTTGTGTGTATAATATAAGTAAATAGTTTTATTTTTTTTAATATTATTTATTAAAAAAATTCAATAGGTACATATATATTATATGTATATTTTATTTAAATACCAATATGTTATCACATGTATGTATGTATTCTATTTTAAAAACATTTTAAGCTTAGCTTTTTAAAGCTTTTCAATATAAGAGAAATAACAAACCAATAAAAATATTAAAACCAATTTCAATACATTTTTAGTATATCAATACTACATTGTATGTATCAAAGTATAATAGGCAAGTAAGTACTTATATATAAATGTATGTACATACGTATGTATATTTTTAGCACCAAAAAAAAAAAAACTATAGAATTCTTATTTTTTTAAGAGCTAAGAATTTATAATGAATTCAACGTTTTTTTTCTATCTTTTTCTAAAAAAAAAAAAATTTAGAACACACAATATTTTAAGCAATTTTTTTTTAATATTTTTAATATATTATTTTTATTTCATCTAAAAATATTGTATTTAAACAAAATATTTTCAATAATATTATATTAACAATTTTTTTGTTGTTATTGCTATTTTAAATTAAGCGACCGCAACGATTTACAACATTCTTGTTGGCCATCCCGTTACTCTCTGTTATCAGAAATAATTTTACCATGCTTGTTTTGCGCGTAATCTTTACTGTTTTTTCTTTCTTGTATACATGTAAATAATGTTCTGTTATTTTCATTTACTCTCCTTTTATGTGGGAATAAAAATATAATTATTTTTTCTTCTTGTTTTATGTATGTGTCTTATGTATTTGTTTTAAATGTGTTTTGTATAATTGTGTGTATATAATATGTATCGATAATGACTGTTGATTGAAATTTTCAAAAAATAAAAACTCTATATATTTTGTAGTTTTCTAACACATACACATATTATGTAAACATATATGGAATAAATATTGGTATTGGTGTTGAGTTTTGCATTTTACATTTCCATAAAAAACAAAAAAAAAACACTTTGTGTAAGTGTTAATATTTTGGGAAATTTTAATATTTTGACTTTGACAGATGAGGGAATAAAAACATATGATTTTGAATAGTGGATATAGAAAATAAAAGTAGAAATTTTTTTTTTTGCCTTATTAGGTTTTGAAGAGAAAATTATATAGAAAACAGTTTTTTACGAAAGATATTACTTACATTATGACCAGGGATGTCGTTGTGGTTTTGAACGCAGCTTTTTGCTTTCTTTTTGTTTACGATTTTTCCGGTGCTCCATATTCATGTTTATACACATGTATCTTACCAGAATAAATTATTATTCAAAATTAAATTAGAAGAATATTAAGTATTAATGAATATTAGAATAACATTGTTGGAATATTAGTAAAAAGTTCGGCTATTGTACTCAGTAAAAGCTTAAAAATTCGCACTCCTCATAAAATTGATTCCTTTAATTTAAAGTTCATGGAGGCCACTTATGAATTTAGGCAAATCAACAACAAGTACCTTAGTACGAAACGATTTGTTGAACATTATTTTATAATATAAATCCATGGCTAAAATCAATTTCAGTTTTTTATTGATTGGTAAGTGTTTTGCAAGTACATATATAAAATATTGCCCAAATAACGAACATTTCAGATTAATTTGATTTTATCTAAGCATCTTCTAAGAGAAAGCGCAAGTGCATACATAATTGTTAAAGATCACGTATTTTTGTTTTCGTTCGTTGCATGAAACGCGAAAATTTTAGAAAAAAAAAAATTTTATAGTCGGTAAAGTATATGGAGTTATTATCTTAAAAGGTAGTTTCATTTTTCATGCATGTATGAAACTCTATACGCGTGTATTGAGCCAACAATTTAGTTATAAACATGTTTATTCAAAGTTTTCATGAAATTATTAAAGAGAATTTAAAAATTTATCCTCCAAAAGCTGTAGTAAATGAAAAGCGTTAATTTTTTAATAGTAAATTTGTGTAGACTTTTTAAATATTAAAAATTGTAAAGCAAACAAATATTTTAGTACTTTTAAGTAGCACCCAAGTTTCAAACCAAAAACATAGAATGTACACAATTTCTCATTTTTGTTATTATTCACTAAAAAACATTGTAGAATCTAGTTAGCAAATAATCAAACCTAAAATTAGCCAAATAATAATTCGATTTATGTATCAAGTTACTTTTTGTCTCCGTTACCATTTACATAGCTGCGTTTTTTTTTTGTTGAAAATTAAACTATTACGAAAACATACTTTTGGTGAGACAAATTTCGTTTGAACAAATAATTTTAAAGTAAATTCTTTAAATTGTTTTTTAAATTTCTTGTCTTATTTCTTGGAAAATTTTTCAAATATTGTCAAACAGAGAATACATTATAAAACTTCAAGAAAATCTCTCAGATACACTTGCGAAAAATAAGTATCCCAAATAAGTTGATCTGTTCATCATGTTTTAAAATTAAGTTGATTCATAAATTTTCGTAAAAATTGGTTTAACCAAACTTTAAATTTAGGATATCAGAAGTCGAAAGAAATTCTCGAAAGATAGCAGAATGTACCGAGAATTTCATGAATAGTGCCTTACTTTATACTGTGTTCGGTAGTATTCTTTTCTTAAACGGTTATCTTTATATAAAATCATACACAAAATTCAAAATGATTATTAACACACAACCATATATTATAAAAAGCTCCAATATTTTGCAACTAATTTTCTATAGAGAAATTTCATTTTCGAAATGAAACTCGTTTAATAATATTCATGTAAAGTTGCGAAGGTAAATAAACAAGACTGAAATGAAAATAACCATTCGCTGAAATAAATTTATATACCCGGCAGATATTGCTGGAAAGATACAATAAGGACAAATTATTAAAATTAATAATTTATGGTTAAATAAATTTAATCATATACGGATGCCATAAGTTTAGACTTTTTTCTATTAGGTTACAAATAAAGGTAACTGTTGCTTCTACATAAAAAAAGGATATTCTGTTTGACTTGTTCGTTACACATAATTATAAATTATCCTAATTGAATATTTTTTTCGAAACTCTATGATTTTTCAATTTTTACTTAGATACCAAAAAAAAAGAAATAATTCGCAAAAAAAAATAAAATATGTGTCTTGTGGTGCGCAATGCTTCAATAATCAGAAATTATTATTATTACAATTTCTTAAATCATTTCAGAGTTAATAATTGTATTAAGGATGTTCTATGTACGAATATTCTAATATGCATGTATGTGACTATTATGTGGTAACCGTATTTATGAATTTATTAAAACTGCATAATGTATTCTTCTTTCATAATACATGTTGTATCAGAAATTTGGACCATAATTTAATATATAAGAATATTCCATTTAATATTATGTGGTGGAGAATGAATAAATCCGAGTTTCTTATGATAGTGAGGGTGATGATATAACATAAAATCATAATGGAAATTTAGTAAATAAATTAGATTTAAAAATTTTAGAGGCAATTCAAATTGTTTCATACACATGTAGGTTAAGATTAAATAATGATTAAAAATTAGTTATACTTCTGGAAATATTCAGATATTTAGTCATGAAATTTGACTATATTTGTTCGGCTAATATTAAATTTGAATATTAGAATCAACTGAAAAAATTATTAATTCCTTTATGTGATAACAATCCCGACCTAAATTATCTTAGTAAAGTTTCTTCTTATTAGCAATATTAAAGAAGTAGGCAGGTTATAGAACAGAAATGAGAAAAATTTATATTTCTATTAGTTATGAATGCTTCAAAATATAGTTGCAACACAACTAGTTACCTTATTTTTTTGATGCGCATTTTCCAAATGTGCATACATGAACTTATTAGATCTTCAATAACTTCGTTTCCTTAATATACTAAAAACATTCGTTTCTAATACTGAAAAATAAAATCTTGTTATTTAGCCTTTGAAGTCAGTGCTATTAATTGTTATGTGCTACAAGTAAACCGAAAACTGTTTAAATTTCGCCATTACACGATTTATTCAATATTTTATTTTTTTAATAATTGAAATTTACTGATTTCAAAAATACATAGGTAGCTTTTCAAATACAATAAATCAGGACCATCAAGTTAGAGCTTCACACAGCAGCTCAAACGTGTTCTCAAAAAACGTTTCATAAAAGATGTCATTACAGAAATTTAACAAAAAGAAAACAAACAGAAAATGATGCTTTCTGTTATTTATTGCCTATCTAATGTTGACGAGGAAAAACTAATATTTATTTTACAATGAAATTTACTACTGATAACATCTGCTGCATTATGACAGTCTTTTTCAGACACCAAAAAAATCCGTCATGAATAATATGTAAATAAAATTAATAAGTAACGCTGGCATTCAATAGTGGTTTATAAGTATGAAACTTCCTTTCCAAATTTGTTGTCGACGTTGCAACATTTGCTGCATAATGAGCAAAGATTAAAATTAAAATAATCGTTTTTATTTTGAATCATCGTTTTTGAATCTTGTATAGGATTGCAACAAATTTTTACTATCGCACAATAGCAATTAGTGCAATTTTGGTTACCGCAGATAAAACGATTTCCTTCCGCAATAGAGTTCGATTCTGTTTTTGATTCAATCAATTTATCAAGCATGATTTGCGTATTTTTTGAATTTGAAGGCATAAATGATTCGGTGGTCCATTCTACCAAATCTGGCAAATCTGCGAAATCAAACTGTGACGGATTTGAGATAATGGGATCTTCATGTTTTTCTGTTGTTGTTAATAAAGGTTCTGTGTTGTTAATAATCAAGGAACTCTGAATTGTTGTCGGAGGCGTAGTTGTGGTTTCGAATGTTAATGTAGACATTGAGTTTACACAAGAATTCACTATTATTTTTTCTTCTGATGTAAGCTGTGTTTTCGGTGGCTGATTTGATTCTTCTGTTGATTTTGGAAATAAAGTAGTGGCCACACTAAATGTAATATTTGATTCCTTTGACAATGTAGAGGATGCCGTTTCCAAGTTTATGTGAGGTGGCTTTGATGTATAATTCTGTAATATCGCTATGTTTTCTTCAGCAGTATCACTATTGTAACATGAACATGTGGGTTTTATTGTTTGTTTAGTTTGAGTGTTGTTTAGATTGAACGTTGGAATATTGAATAATGCTGTAGTTGAGGTTGGATGTAATTCAGGTTTTGGTTTATTAATTCGTTTTGTTGTTGTAGACAATTTTACAGTTGTTGAAGTTTTTGTAGGTTGTAATATCGGAGTCATGCTACAAGTAACAGTAGTTGTTTGTGGAGAGTTTGTTATTTTTGTTGTTGGTTTCAGTGTAGTTGTTGTGACTTCTTTTGTTTTCATCATATTTCCTCGGTTAGCACAAGGGCATGTGGGGAATGCTGTTTGTAACAATTTTTGCGATTTTTGAGTAGTTTTGAGTGGTAGCCTTGGTATCCGTCTTGTTGGTTTGGGTTTTGGTTTTCTCTTAGAATTTGGTTTCGGTTTGGGTTTAGGTTTTTGTTTTGGCTTTCGCCTTAACTCTGGTTTAGGTTTGGGCTTTATTTTCGTTGGCTTTGGCTTAGGCCTTGAATTCATTTTTGTTGGTTGTGGTTTAAGTTTTAGTGTAGCTCGCGTTAGTTTATGTTTTTGTTTCTGCTGCATTCCTGTCGGCTTTGGCCTGGGTTTTGAATTTGGCTTAGATTTTGGATTTTGCGAAAGGTTTTTGTTTCTACATGAACAATTTTGTGGTACTGATGTTGAGGCACTCTGCAACTCTGCATGAGATTGCATATTTCTTGTAAGTCTTTCTGTGGTTGTTACTGGTTTCGGTTTTTTCTTGGGTGTACCCTTGCGTCCTGGTTTTTTATGTAATGGTTTGGGCGTTGGTTTTTTACGCGACGGCTTCGGTTTAGGTTTTGGTTTAGGCTTCGGCTTTGGTTTCGGCCTTGGTTGAGGATTGGAATAATAAACTCTTCTAACATATGTATTTGTGTCATCTTCTTCAGAGGACGAATCATCCATGAGATGTCCAAGTAATGCCATTGATAAAAGGCAATTTCTGCGTATAAGCTTTCCGCGCTTTGTTTCATTTTTGATATTATTTTTGACACTTATTACACTCGGAATTGATTCCGATTTGATCAATTTTTTTTGGACAAATGTCTCAAGTGATCCATTATTACTACAATATCTTGAAATTTGTTTACATCCAACATGCTTTGCATACAATGTAATTATAGAAAAAATTATTAAAATAAAACATAATTTTTGCATTTTACAATTTGATTAACACTAAAATCTTAAATACTCGATATTCTCTTTTAAATATAAGTTTTAGGGACATAAATTTTTTTTTATTTGCTTTATTTCATTTTTTTGTACTTTCTATTATTTCCACCACGCTTAACTGAAATTTTTTTTATTATTAGTTCTAATGTTTTGGTATCGGTTCATCTGACTTATATTTTAATATATAATAATTAAGACTGTCGGCTCTTTTGATATGTTCAAATACATTAGTAAAACAAAATATGTAAATACTTGCAACAGTCATTTTAATTTATTTTCCAGCATACTGTTACATCGAAACTGAACTGTTGAAGTATATTCGCATAATAAACTTCATAATTTAATTTTTATAGTTAAGGCGTGATTTTCGGAAAAATTTTGCTAAATTCAAAGTTATAAAAATTGTATAATACGTATCATCCTGTTCATTTTTGGAAAATTTTCATTATAAAGTAAGTTGCCAGATCCTAATAAATCAAATACTTATTAACTTAAGCAAGAGGATATATAGAATTTGTATTTTGTATTTGAAAGTCTTTAATGTCCTTGACTATAATTGGAAGAAGAAACGATTCTAAATATATTGTAACAAAATATATGAAGTAATGTAGCCGTTATTAGGAACCATTCTTTCGTTAATTTTTTAAGATGATTGTTTTAAGTAAATCTAACAATTTCCAGCCATTTTCTCAAAACAAATGATTGTTTGAAATAAATGTACAACCTAACTATTAAAAGTTTTTTTCTAAATTACTTAATATGTTTACAAACATGCATCATAACCACAATAGGTTTTAACAATACGTTCTTTAATAATAACGATAGACAATTTCGGAATAATATGTTAACTACAAAATTTTATTTTGCTAAAATAAATAATCTAAATTCAATAACGACAGTTTGCATACTATCAGGCTCAGTAATTCAAACAAATTTCTCTTCGATAGCAAATTGAGTGAGCCTTAGCTCTTGAATTTCTCTTGTTAGTTGTTAGATTTAGATATATGTATGTCAAGTACCTACTTTAGCCATAACTAGTAAATAATTAATATTATTTACTATAAAAATAAAATTTTACGAAATATTATCAAGCCGCAATATTCAGCTTATCTATCTGATATTGAATACTACAACACAATGATAATACTTAACTTATTTTAGCTGACAAGCATAGGCACCTTGACATGACAAAAATATAAGTTGGGAAAATCTTGTATGTAAAGTATAAAATAATAGTGTAGATATTACTAACAATTTCAAAATTTAATAAAAAACCCTTAACACGAATTAGAATACAAAACATATTTAACGAATTATTTAACATTATTGGCTAATCTATCTCTAATAATATAAATTCTTTATTTATGGATAATTTTATTAATAAGAAATTTCGTAAGATACATATATATGTACTTATTTAGAATATATTTTTTTTGTTTAATTATTTTGACTATTTTTTTTCTGATTGTATGAAAATCAATTTAAAAAACATTTTGTAAGTTTTGTAATAATGTAGGCATGTAACATGTATGCACATTTCAATTTTGAAAAATACATATTTAAATTTCTTCATTTGTAGCTAAGAACAAAAAACTTTACTACACCTTTAGTCCCCTACTCAGGCTACAATTGAAGTTGAAACTGCAGTTATTTAGAACATTATAACTACATATATTGTTCTGTAAAATGTCAGCAATTCTTTAAGATTTAAATTTAAATTTGAAAAGTAAACATAATCATTTCTATAATATACAAAACTATAACTTTATATCATTTGTTTATTTCCTATATACTAATCTCGATTATTATCAATGCACTGATTAATAACGTCGATTAAATGATTATTTTCTAAAGCAGCCGCAACACGCTCCTTATCAGCTAATTGTTTGTTAACAGCATCCTCGGTATCATGAGTCCCTGGTGTTATGCCAACTTCTACTTTAATATTAGGTGGCAGAGATCTCAATAATTTGACTCGAATTGAAAGACCAATCAAAGTAGCCAAATTACAATGCGGTATAGTCGGCGTAAACTGAATTTTCACTAAATTTTGCTTGCTATCAAGGCTGATCAACTCTTGTTGAACTACATTTAATTCTTCTAATGTTTGCGGACGTTCTGGATCATTTATATTACGAATGATATCTAAAAATATTTGATATTTTTTTTTAAACAAATACATACATATGTACTTAAAAATCTTACCAAAAATTTCCCTTTCATCATAAAGATCCGTGACATTTGAAAAATATTCTGCTGCTTTATCGACACTACCACTTTTAAATAAATTTTTACTCATTTTAAATAATTCTATTGGCATAATTTAACATTTGAAACTTTACTTTTTATTTTTCCTTAATTATTTCCATCAATATTTTTTAAAAACCCTAATCTTATTTTGTCTTTCTTTCTACTACGATTCCAGAAATATTTTGATAACAACTTGGTAAACGTCAAAATGACATCAATTGTAAGTGTTCAGAAATTTAGTAGGAAGACGTTTTGTAAAAATTTACTTGCGCTGCGTTTACATTTGTATTAAAATACGTGTTTCAAACTATTTTTATAGGGAAAAAAATTATATAGGCCTGTTATTTATAACAAATTTGCAGAAAGTTTGATGAATGTAATAACTTGGTCTTATGTATGATTAAATCGCCATAATTTTCTATGTAAATTGCATAAAGAATTTAACGACCGAAAATATTATGTGACACGTTTATGAACGATTCTGTGATATAAAGATTATAAAGAATTTTTTATGATAATTTATTTTAAAATACTGTCAACATTGTACAATGCTCGTCGTTATTTTGGTAAAAATGATATCGGAACTGCTCTGTAAATGTAAGTCAACATATCTGGTGTATAAATTTCCAAAAAAATAAGAGTCAGATTTATATTTAAACTCTTTTAACTTATTAACAAGTCTCGTGAAAATATTTTTTTTTTCCAAAAATATTTTTCAATGTTTTCTACAATTTTTTTTAAGTTGTAGCAATTTTGACATTCCCTTAGGCACTTATTGTTTTACTTCAGTGTAGCAAACTTTTAATTTCAGTTTTTGCATCTAATGCAGCAATCTCATCTCTAGAAAACGAAATCAAAAATCAGCTGATTGTCAGAAAACTTTAACACTGATATTTTTAATTTTTGTCCCGTAAAGGTTCCATAAGGAATGCTTACTTCATAAAAATTCGATCTTTACAGCATGTAGGTGTATGAAAGGTGAACGTATGTAGTTAGATAAGATGTTACATTTTTTTTGTTGTGCAAGAAACTTACTAATTAATTGAGATAAAAAATTAAACGTCGAAAAATATTTAATTTCAGTTATGCGTTTACAAATGTGCTATAGTTTAAGCATGTAAACGACAATATAATATTATATTTGTGTATGTACATTCAAATGTACGGCTAAAATCTGTTTAATGCTGTTACTAAATTTCACCATATTCCCGCATTTACCAGAATGTGAACAGGATTAAAATTTTACATTCTCCAGATTCCAGAAAACAGATTTGGTGTTCACCTAAATTTGAACGAATTCGAGTGTTTCAATTCCATTTTCAAAATTCAAATTTTAAATGTGGAAACATAAGTTTTATAAATTTGAAAAGTATTGAATTATAAATTTGATTAAAAGAATATAAAAATGGATTCTGTTTTGTTATTATTTAATGAAGAAAATAGACGAAAAAGATAAAGTTGAAGAAAAATTTTCTGTGAAAGAACAAGTGTTTAGATTTTCCTGATTCTATGTAACTAACGTAACTAATTGAAGTTAAATATTTTAAATACAAAAATATTTGAAAATGAAGAACAAGGTAGAGATACGATCAAAACGTTTTGAGAAGAGTATAAAAAGGATGCTGTTGTAATTCGACCGATTCGGAGAACAGGTTCAGGTAACTGCTATACAACTCAAAATTATTTTAAATTTTTCTTAAACTAATAAGGATGTAAATTTTGTAAGCGTGTGTACAAATTAATTTTACATACATACATACATATGAAGGTATATTCCTAAAATTTTAATGGAATGGTTGTACAGAATCTGTTAGCTGTTGCAGAGCTGAAATGGCTGAAAAAATAATAAAGTTCCATGAAATTTGACAGTTGTTCCAATCACAGACTAGATATAACCTTGGAGTTTTAATCGAATAGCTTCGCAGGGTCAGATAGCTGCCATACAGCTCCAAAAGCTAATTTTAAATATTGGAAAATAATAAAGTTAAATGCATGAAATGTGACAGTCGCGTGTCCAATTATAGGTCAGATGTATCCTTGAAGTTCTTGTGGAATAAATTGACAAGTTTGGGTAGCTGCCGTAAAACTCTAAAAGCCAATTTTAAATATTCGAAAAATGTTTGAATTTTAAATATTTTAGAGAATGTTTGAGAAACAAATTTTTATACTCAGATTGTTAAGGTGTAATTATGTAATTAAGATTGTCAGTGATAATTGACATTGTTAATAATTGTTGCTGAAACTAGCTTCTAAGGAAAGTTTGATACGTATTACACCAAAACTTATGTTTGATCCCTTATCTTATCAAGCGGATTTTTAAAATTGAATTTAATCTCGATAAGTTTGAATTAAAAAAAAAGTATATGAAGAAATTTTCTGATCACTTTAAAAATTTTTACGTTATGTGAGATGTTCTCAAATGCAGGCTCTTTATATTTTTTAATACATAACGGTATTAATGTATACAGAATATGCCGAATGTTTATTGCCGAAAGATTTTTTTAGAAAACTTGAAATTCATTAGTAAGACATCTTGTTTGTATATTTTCGTTAAAAGAGGAACAATTGTGATTTAGTTATGTATATTGATTATATGAAATACCAATGAAAGAATCCTCTTGTTCGATTTTAAATTTATATATATATAATAAATTTTTAAAATATTAATTAAGTTCCTTTTCGGGTATGGGACGTTAAAAGTAAAAAAAAAGAAACAAAATATAAAAGAAACTTTTTTAATTAAAAAAAGTGTGGGCAAGCAGGAAAAACAAAATTTTTTAATTAATGCTGAAAAGTTTGTAAAAATGTTGAAATTAAGAAGAAAAAGCCTTGAAAGCATTATGCAATAGTTCCGATTCTTAAAAACATTGCTTAATATATTTGACCAGAGCGTGATACCGTTTTACACTTGATGCGCCTTTCCTTATATGATATGTACTTATTTCACGTATCTTCCCAAAATTCCTTTCACACAACATTTATGTCGAAAACGTAATGAGTTTTTAGTTTCATAAAAATTAGTCAAATGAATTGTTTAAGAATAAAATGCGTCTATTTTGGATGTTTCGTGTAGTAATAAATTTATGCCGGATATTTAGGGGATTTTATAAGAAAAGTAATAATACTAAATTAATTACAAAAGTGTTATATACAAATTACCTGATAATTCAAAAAATCAATGTGTTTTTATCAATTCTAAGGATATGGTCTAAAATGTAATAAATGGAAAATTTAATCTGTAATTTGGATTATCTTTTCTAATATACAGTGAAAATCGGTTATAAAGTATATCGGTAATAACGAAATATCGGTTATAGCGCGCAAAAACGATAACAAAGTTTGGTTCATATATAAAATGTATGGAAAAAAATAGCTTCGGAACGAAATCGGTTTTAATGAAAAAATGTCGAATATTTTTTACTTTAGCGACATTTCTGTTTACATAGAAATAAAATTGGTTACAACGAATATCTATGATAGTTTTTGCCGTAAAATTTTTGTTCCTTGGAAAAAATTTTTCTTTTATCATTAAATGTCATTTTAATTGAATTTTCATTTTGAATTGAAGAGTAAATAAAAAAATGACAAAAATTGAAATATAAATGTTACATATTTTTTATTTGTATACCAGTTATAATGAAAATTGGTTTAAACATCAATTTTTCCTGGTCCCTTGACCATTTCTACTGTATTTATGTGTTGATGATGAACATGATTAGCATTATGCTAAGTAGCAAATTTTTCAAAATTATTTAACTATGCAGCGTGATTCTAATTCTTCTTTTTGCGAATTAGCAACTTTCAAAACGCTCCCTTGCAAAAATTTAAATTTGTTACTCAAGCATATCTTTGCGCTTCACTTTTAGATATTTATCAACACAATTTAGATTTTGTACAACAACGCAACCACCTCTGCCATTAAAAGAGATTACCTTCTTCAGAATGTTTTTTTTTTAATTTGATAAATTTTATTTACAGCCTTTAACTTTATACAATATGAAATAGTCATACATGTATAGATACATCGAAAGCTGACTTGCATTACGTAGGTGCTACAAATTTGCCAACAATTTAACGGACACTACAACAATGAATGAACTGCAGAAAATGAAACTGCACTAGTTTTATATTCTTTGTGAACAAGGTACTTATGTGCTACACTTTTCTTAATGCAGTAAACAAGATTATAAATATATAATAATAAAGTTGGGTCAAACCAATGGTTTGTATTGTAGCACTTTTCCCTTCAACAAGTGAAAATTCGGCTTTTAAAAACAGTCTTATATCTACCACACTATTAAAATATTTTCATTCATATACGATACTATTTCTAGGATTGCATATATTTAGGATGAACGATTTATGCAGTCTTTGAAATAAAGCAAAAATGGGTATAAAGTGGGGTTAACATAATGTTCGATTTTAAGGGTTAATTGTATGAGTTAAGAAAAATGATTATATTTTTAAATGTCATGGAATTTACCGTTTGCTTTTTGCGTTTATAGAAATTTAAAAAAGCTTGCGGTTTCGGAAATATAAAATGTCAAAAATTCAAATTTTACAAATTTCAAGAGGCGATAACTTGAGAGGGGGTAGAGATGGAAAAAAATTTTGTTCTAATAAAATGAACTATTTAATGTCTAATAGCCCCTAAAATTTCAAGCTTCTACAGGCTGGGGTCTAGAAGAAAAACAAAATCAAAAATTTGAAAAAAAGGACTTTATATAACGGTAAATTTGAACGGCCATTTTGTTTTTTTAAAGTTTAACTATAATATACCGCGCTAGAGGAAGCAAGCCACTGCCTTTTTGCGTTTGCAAAATTTCAAAAATGCTTATGGTTTCATTGCAACAAATAGTTAAAAAAGGCCATTTTTTGGTTTTTGGGGTGGTATAACTTCTAGAGGGGGGAAGATAGGTAAAAATTTTGTTTTACGGAAATAACTTTCTAGTAAAGATCTATGTACGTATTAAATTTCAGCTTTCTATCTTTAAGGGTGTAGAAGTTTTGTAAACAAAAAAAGTGTCCAAGGACGGACGGACGGACGGACGGACGGACGGACAGAGTAAAACTAATAAGCACTTTTTTTCAAAAACTTTTTGGACAAGTGCTAAAAACTTAATTATGTAAAAAACCCTAATTTAAATTAAAATTTCAATATTAGAGAAATGTTTCTTAAGAGAAATATC